AGCTATGAGCTCCCATAAAAAATGCAGTGCTTAGTAATCAGCAGGATTTAAGGGTTTAAAGGTTTTTCATGAACAGTAAGGGTGTGAATCAGACCCACTGTAGGCACTGCAGCGTGTAGTTCTGCTTGAGCTCCTGCCCCAAGCTCATGTGGTGGAAAGACCTTTGACCCCCCTCTGCCTGGTTCCAGATTGGTGGCGTGGCCTCGGGGTTCAAGCACGTGGTGACCAACGACGCCAACGTGAAGAGGCTGCTGCACATCAAGGGGCGCCGGATCATCAGGGCCACCGAGGTGGACTTGTCCTGGGGCAGCTTCAACAAGGGAGACTGCTTCATCATCGACCTGGGCAAGGTGAGCTCCGCGGGCAGCCCTGTCCCTGCTTTCCTCCTGACGCAGGTCGGCTCGGCTGAAGTGTTTGATTGCACGAGTAGAACAGGGAGATTTTTTTCCCCAGTCCTCTACATGTGTTGACCTACAGCTGGGCCTCTGTTATGTTCTGTATCCTGGCTGTTGACAACTTGAGGCTGTTGATTTCTGAGCTGAAACTCTGCAGAACTTTCAGTAAACGGCGTGTGTAGCTCCTGCTGCTGCAGCTGGTCCGTCTGGGTGGAGATGACCCATGACTCCCCAGCCCTACGGACGGGCTTTGGCTTAACGGTACCAATTCAAGTAGGGCCAGATGTGTGGTGGGGTCACCGGCGGCCCCACAGCTGCTGCTGCAGACGCCTCCCTGACCGCCGGCGTCTCGCCCCCCTGCAGGACATCTACCAGTGGTGCGGCAGCGAGTGCAACCGCTTCGAGCGGCTGAAGGCCTCCCAGGTGGCGATCGACATCCGCAACAACGAGAGGAACGGCCGCGCCAAGATCACCATGGTCGAGGAAGACGCCGAGCCCCAGGAGATTATCGCCGTGAGTGGGAGCGCTGTGCTTTCGCGGCGCGGCCTGGAGATGCACCCCACTTCATCACTGCGCGACCGCGGTGCTCATTAGGACTCAGTCTGACCCCACTGCCTGCTCCTCCGTTCTTCTCTTTAGGCCAGTGCTCGCTCACAATTAGAGAACCCCTGCTCCCCGTTCTCCATGCTGTCGGTATTTGCAGAATACTTTCCTTCTGCAAATATCTTACAGGAGGGGACCCACTCATCTACCGCTATTGAATACAGCCCCACCTGGGTGACCGGCGGCAGCTATTCTGCACCAGCAGCTCCGCTGCACAGCGTGTTAGGCTCGGAAGTGTTTATTTAATTTATTTCACCAGATGAATTATGGGGAACTTTAGGTAGGCAGGCCAGATGAAGCCAACCCAGCGTGAGATTTAGTCAGTGAACTGGGGGTTAACAGCCCTGCTTGTGCAACGTAGCCAGATAGTTTGGAGCTCAGCTTAAGATCTTATCTCAAGAATGGCACTTTCTGCTGCGTGGTGCTTGCAGTCATCTGTACCGAGGCACCGATTTGGAAATACTGGTTGAAAGGAAAGAGTGTCCCCCTTTCTGGTCCACCAGCACCACTTACAGCAGGCTGGTTCTCCCAAGGTGTCTCCTGTCCTAGTACTGATCGTGTCCATCCTAGGTTCTGAGATCTGACGGGATCAGGGTACAGAGTGGTGGAGCTGCAGTCCTGTGACACATGTTTGTTTGTTTGTTTAATTTCCCAGATTCTGGGTGCGAAGCCTGGGATCCCACCGGGAGGCCCTGATGACGAGGCTGTGGAGACTGCCAACAAGAATAAAGGCAGTCTTTACATGGTGACCAGCCCAGTCAATTCGTTAAGATATCCAGTAACTGCCCGAGCTTGTAAGAAGCATGAGATACAGTACATTTCGCCAACAGAAGCCTGTGAGATGATTGGGAGAGTAATTGAAAAAGATGCTTTTGAATGTTTTGCACCAAGACGTTGTTAAACCTTCTATAAAACTGAACAAAAGTCATTCCACGCTTTGGAGTTTCGTAGAAAATGTATCCCTGGCAGACATGCCAAAATGGCCATACACAGCAATATTCAGGTGGAAAATGGAAGCAATATTTACTCCAGCTCTGGGGTGAACCGTGACTTGAAGCTGAAGAAAGCGGTCAGACGTCTGTTCCATTTGCACAGGAGAAACTATGAAATTAAAACTTTTAATTTCAAAGTGAGTTCCCTATTAAATGTGCAGAATGAGAACTGTTCCCTGTTATTGGGGCGCTCAGGGCATAAACACAGTGTGAAGTGTGTTGAAACCCCCTCTGTGTGTTTCTGTGCATGTGAGCTCTTTTCTTCTGCCGGGTCAGGTCTCAGATGCTACTGGGTCAATGAAGACATCCCTTGTGGCTCAGTCTAGTCCCTTCAAGCAGGCCATGCTGTCCCCTGATGAGTGCTACATCCTGGACAATGGAGTGGACAACAAACTCTTCTTGTGGAAAGGTGTAGTAGTTCTCACTTTTTTGAAACATTAGATCAGTAAAGTGATGTGACCTGCTAAACATACTACAGATTTCTGCAGCTGCATATTTCTTGCTGTTAAACTTGTTTTAGGTGTAAACTAAACTCACTGTGGTTATGGGTGGAATTTAATTATAATTCCTAAGCTAATCATTATTTTTTTTCTGTCTCAAATATTTCAGGATCGAATGCCAACACTGGTGAACGCAAAGCAGCAATGAAGACAGCCGAGCAGTTCATCAAGGACAAAAATTATTCCTCCAAAACACAGGTACAGCGATAATGAGACTGAGAAGAACTTCAAACCTTTCACATGCAGGCTCAAAGAGTTTTAAAAAACAACAGAAAAGCTACTTTCATAGCAGTTGCTTTTAATTTTATTTTGATTCACACTTTCATCAGCATGGTTTACTAAACACCAAGCCAGTTTATTTAATGTTTTTTTCTGTGGAATGGTTTTTCTGCTAGAAGTTACTGTATAAGAGAAAAACATAAGAAATGTACAGACAGGAAGAGTTCTGCTTGTGTTAACTTGCCGGTCTTAGGATCACATCCAGCTCTTTCTAGAACAAAGTCTGGGTT